ACGATCGTGCAAAAGACTTCCTATCATCGACGGAAATTCAAAATGCATTGTACGAAGCGATGCGTGGCTCCCCGGTGCTTTCTCGTGTATGGCCCGAAGTCGTATTGGATTTTATGTTTAAGTTTTAGTATTCTATGTTCAAAATCGAGATTTATACAATTGATTTAGTCACAGAAATGAAAGACGATATGTGTAAGAGGGGAGTGTTTGAAGAAATGGTTTAAGATAGAGGAGCATGGAAGGAGAAAACATGTTGCGCCGACCCCAGGTGACCGGGAGAAGGGCAGGAAAATGATGATTAAGTCACTGAAATCGGTGTATTTTTTTTTATTACTTAGTGGTTTTATTGCTTATTAGATGGACGAGTTCACAACCCAAATGTGCCACCCACGTTGAGATATAAGTTCTAAGGTCTCAGTATAGTTACAACGGCTGACCCGCCTTTCAAACCGAAACGCATTATTGCTCCACGGCAGAAAGAAGCAGGTTGATGGTACCTACCGGTGCGGACTCGCAAGAGGTCACAAGAAAAAACTAGGTAGTCTATGCAACAGACTCTCCTAAGTCCTCAATAGTAATCATTTAAAATAGTGATGTCCAATTTGCGAGTGTTAACTTAAAATCAACACAATGAATCGTCTCACTGCCAAACCCTAAGTCACTTCAGTCAGTTTCAATTCTCACACAGGAGCCTTTGTATTTGTTTTACATTCTCGCTTTCCCTTTAACGGCCCGTTTAATGGGGTGTCATAACTACCGAACTGGGTGAATGAATCATCGCCCAGGTCGGCTTTTATGGTCCACTAAATTATTTGAGTCGTTAAAACATAATTCTGGGTCTGGCCCTACACTAGTTTCGGTAATAGGTTAATTGAGGTCCTTTATGTGGTGGCAGTGTTTTTGCGACACCTTTTTATGGTGCGCCAAGGATTATGGTTGGAGCTTAGGGTTGATGGATGAGTCTTTGCGTGAGAGCGATTGGGTTATTAATCTGGTGGCGTGTTTTTTTTTTGTATATTCCATTTTGACAGTACTTTGGTTGCTTTTTGTTTTCAACCGAAATAATAGCCACAGGTTGTATGTTTTTATAAGCCTTCATTTTAATTAGTTCACGCCCCATCCAATTTACAATGATAACTCCATTGTCCACAATGATATTGGAATTGCTAAGGCGTTTTCATGGAGGCCCGGACCGCGGCAAATATAGAGCGCACACACCAGTACATGGTATTTTGAAGATTATTCTTCTTTATCGTTGAACTCTTAACAGAGTAGTCGTGATCGCTATGTAGCTTTAGAGGGAGCAGATCTGTCGATTCTGCCGCACTCTTTTAAGGGATCTCCCACTGATTTTAATGATTACCGAAACTCAATTAGGATTAATAAGATAAGGACAGCAATGAATGAAAGAAATAATCTAATTATCGTATTACTTAGAAGGCAGCGAATTTGTATACGCTTATATTCTGAGTAAGCTTGTTTAAACTAATATATGCACAGTAACATAATGTGTTGATGTTTGATGCTACAAAAAGATGTCGGAAAAAAAACGAATTTTACAAATAAAAAGTGAATTAAGTAGATGGAATAGGATACTTTATACCACGGTAAATTCAATATTAATATACGGGACAACGCCGTATATACTTATTATAATAAATACGACAGTATATCTGTTATTTTGTGGCTCCAAAGTAGTACATAATATACAACACCAACATAAACGGCTTTCGGGTGTTCTGATTGACATTTGTCATTGAATAACATACATAGACGTCGTCAACTATGAAATGACGTTATCTATATATTAATACGTGAAGCAAAAACTTTGTATCCCTTTTTACGAAAATTGCGCGGACGGAGGAGTATGAAATTTTCCACACTTATAGAGAATATAGAGAAAAAGTGCACAATGCTAATATTTTTTTAAAAGAATGCATAAGAGATACATTAAATCAATAAAGAAAACATTACACACACTACATACCATGTATTTGACGCACACACGCATGCATACTATTTATTGTCAAACTTTTGTTCTTGACGTCTGTAATTCTTAAATATTGTTTGTCTTTGATAATATGATATTTTTTATAATGTAGTCTTGGCGAGTATAGAAGTATAAAATACAATCATAATAGTGTACAAACTTACAATTCCAATGAATTATAGTCGAATTTCGACTACTGCGGGACCTCTAGTTTGAATAAAACATTTTAAATATAAGGATTACTCGTAAAACAGTTCGAAACAATTGGAAACAAGTTTGGAACAAGACGAAGTAGATTCCGTAGCATAAAATTAGTAGTGCTATTGGCGGAGCGCACCTACATTGGAAGGTACGAATTTGAAATTGGAATTCTGGCACGGACCACATTTCATTTGACGCGGCGAATGTTGCACGTTCACGTCACCGTGCGAAAATTGAAACTAGGGTTGGAACCGTCACGGTGCAGGGTTGCCAGATTCTTTTTGAAAAATTACTGCGACTTTTACGTGCGATAGATTTTTTTTGCCATTAATCATAGGTCGTATATAAGTATGATATGCTATGGAGATGGTTACTGTCACTTATGAGCATCTGCAATACAGAGGCATAAGTCATGACTTCTGCCAACTAACTTTATCAAACTTTGCCCAAATGGGGCATGCTATAGGATACGTTTGTAAATACTCAAGGACCATTAATGCAGAAAAGCGATTATAGGAACCAAAATATGATTATAAGGAAAATAATTTTCTAAAGACCAGTACTATCCTATTATTCTTACTTAGCACTATATCTCAATCAGTTCTCATCATATAAAGTAGTTTTATTGATGCTCTCTCAGTGTAACTTTACCTACCTAATGATTTTAAAGCTTCGGAAGTAATCACTTTAGAAACACTTGGGCAAACCAGTTTCCAGCAAAATGTACTGCACACTAAAAATATTCCTCTTGATTTCTATGCTTGTACCACTACAAGGCAATTAAAGATGACGAATTAGTAGAATTCGATCTAACCTAATATTTAGTCGTATCATTAAACTGTATGATGTATTGTCAATGCTGAAAATTACAAAAAAAAAATACTAAAATAAAAATATACTAATAATGATATGTAGTACTTTTAAACGCATCTGGCAACCCGCACACATTTGTTTGCTCACCCGTCACTTCGCCGAACCGCATTTCAATGTGTAATTAGTATATTTTATAATACAATTCGAAAGCGTTTCTAAATTTTAATCCGAATTAAATTTTGTTATAACATTGCGTTTTCTATAAATTTAAAACGTGCTTGAGGCTCAACAGCGCTAATTTTATTGGACAAGTAGCGACCCGCCCTCGCTTCGCTTCGGAAACTGTAATTTATTATTGATTTCTCTACTATTTAATAGATCTTATTATACATATAAACCTTCCTCTTCAATCACTCTATCTATTTAAAAAAACGCATCAAACTCCGTTGCGTAATAGTGAAATCCGGACATGTTTTGCTGAGAAACGCCTTGAAACTCCTTACACAAATATTGATGGTACTGTGACGGCAAGTTTGACCTAAGCGACAATAACTAGTGTACTAAATTTTATCACAATCAGATGAATAAATCAGTCACATATAGAGGACGAACACATACACATTCATTTTTATTTACATGTGTGTGTCAGAGATGGTCATTCGTTTGGTAGCAAAACGAAGCGCAGCACGATTGCCGAGAGGTGACAACACGATCGTAATGTCGTTGGAGTTTGGCTAACTTCGTGCTAAGACAGAGCCTAACCGATGGAGGCACGCATAGACGCCAGACACTTGCCAGCCTTCTTGAAGAGCGTATGTCCTGTTTTTATGATTGAGGGATTACTGGTGGCTCAGAGGCCTTTCCAGTTTCACCAGGGAGGATAACGGCTCAGCCAGGAGGGGTGGGATTTGCTAATAGCTACCCGAGCGCCTCCAAAGGAGATCTAACAACTCAAGAGTAGCTGCTTCACGAATGAATCTACTACCGGATCGGAATCACGACCCGCTGAGAAGATCTGGCGAAAAACTCAGCGGGCTGATGTTTATGTTAGGTTGCACGGATCTACCGTCCTAGAAATTATCATTTGTTTCCTTTACTAACGTCAAAATAAGATTGCTAGATTTTTCCAAGACGATAAACGTGTTTGGTGTATTCACTCCTTGCTTTATCACCCTAGCTATTCGCTATGATGTCTGACGATGGTATTAATAATGCGGTCGCTCCTACATAAAAGATAGAGGGTAGGTAGGCGATCTCTCGGTAAACAACAATTACCAGATCACTTTGTCACAATTACGCAAATATAACCCGTATCTTTAAAACAATAGCTTTGAATTAATATTTGCATTATAAAAATGACCTTTGAAATTGGAAAGTCTGATTCATATTTATTCGATAAAATATACTTCTATCATAATATATGACAACATTTGCGTAGTTACTGGTGGTAGAAACTCTTGTGAGTCCGCACGGGTAGGCACCACCACTCTGTCTATTTCTGCCGTGAAGCAGTAATGCGTTTCGGTTTGAAAGGCAGCCGTTGTAACTATAATGAGACCTTAGAACTTATATCTCAAGGTAGGTGGCGCATTTATGTTGTGGATGTCTATGAGCTTCAGTAACCACTTAACTCTAGGTGGGCTGTCAGCTTGTCCATCCATCTAAGCATTAAAAATATATATTATTATGTGCTGCCATCTATTGTCAGATACGTACAAATAAGTTTTCAGCTTAAACTGCGTAAAAAGAAATAATTTAACGTGCTAAATTAAACTTAGTATTGTTTAGCTAATTTGTTAAATTAGTTAACTCCAAAAAACCAAGTTTCCATCGAGTTCAGTTCAGGTGATATTTTAGAGTTTCTTTACAACATTACAAAATTCATGAATTCCATATTTTTCTTTCAGATGACAACACAGCGGTCGTTCGAGAATTGAATTTCAAAAATGTTCGTTGGCAACACGTTCGCTAGTGATGACGGTGCAGTGGCGTGATAGTGATGTGATGTGATGTTTGAGTGACAGTGATCATCATGCTGCCGGCGTTCCGTCGGCTGCTGGCGGCCGCTGCGGTGTTTGGCGCCACTATCGCTATGGCTGCTAAGAATGGTGAGTATACATACGTTTAGGTCAAACTATTATTAACTAGATAATAAGGTTACGACCTTCAACAATGAAGTATGCGACTAAAAAGAATAAGAAGAACTAGATAACATAACAAAAGCAAAGACCTCTAAGATAAACTAATCCGCGATTCCGAAAGTTGCCTTCGGTGATGTGAAAATGTTGTATGACCATAAAAAACAACTTTAGCACTTAAAACGAGCGATTTAGGCCTATAATCGCAAATCAGAAAGTTTCGAAACCCCTTTAGAACGTTCTCGAGAACTTAAATATCTTAAACTCGATAAACGTGAGAAATGAACTAAAATGAGAACCTCACGAAACGTTACACACGACCCCTTAAATTTTATTATTATTACGTTAACACAATTATGACAGTCGCTTTTGGGAATCTATTTTTTTTTCAACGTGATCCGGTATAAGAATTGTTTTTATCGGGGGTTTCGGAAGGCCGGGCATTAGGTTATTGAATCGTGAGTTCGTCAGCTCAAAAATTCATGGCGGGCATCGAACTTGAGTTAACGTTGAAATATGTAAACAGTACTGTTGACTTGACACTATTTTAATTATACAGACCGTTAAATTGCTTAAACAATCAGGGATTACAATAATAATTTGTGATTTAGAGCCAACGGGTTAGTGAATGATCATCGCGTGCGACCGCTGTCAACCAGAGAATTGAATGACTTGATGTCCGTCCGCCATGATAGACGTAGCTGCATTCGGTGTTGCGCACTCTTTATTAGAATTACCATTTAATCGAATACAAAATTATTACTAATCTATATAATTTTATTTCCAAGAATAATCCTTTTATAAAATAAATTATGATTCTCGAAATTAACTATTTTTCACTATCTAAAAATGTTACGTCACGTAATTTTAAATGTGCAAAAAAAGAAGTTCTGTTTATATTTTGGATAAGTTGCTAAAAAAAACTTAAAAAGTGACATTTTTGTAGACATTTTGGCGATATTTAACACGGCGTTCGGATATCGACGAATTACACTTTAGTTGTCCGTAGCTACGAAAACTGTAAATATTTTTTTACTGGTGGTAGAACCTTTGAGTCCGCACGGGTAGGTACCACCACCCCGCCTATTTCTACCGTGAATCAGTAATGCGTTTCGGTTTGAAGGGTGGGGCAGCCGTTGTAACTATACTGAGACCTTAGAACTTATATCTCAAGGTGTGTGGCGCATTTACGTTGTAGATGTCTATGGGCTCCAGTAACCACTTAACACCAGGTGGACTGTGAGCTTGTCCACACATCTAAGCAATAAAAAAAAGTTAGTAAATAGTAAACACGAGATTAAATCGTAAAAGTAGCTCTGATTATACAAGTAAGAAATACGTTATAGTAACTTTCGTGAAATAAGTCGATTGAGATGTTTTTATAGTTAACAAAACCATTTTCCACACAATAATGTTCCATGGTTGAATTTAAAAAAAAACAACAACAATTTTATCAAATTTATTACAGAATTAAAAAAAAAAATGTACAGTCGCGCGCATCGCATTCCCGCTGACTATAATATCTTTATATTATGTGTATCTACGTCACGTATCATTCCCGAGCGACGGTATTCCAGTGCAGCGTTATCGAAAAACTATAAAACAAAAATCCTTTATAAATTTCGATACCTAGTTTTAATGTAACTGAATGTACTTTTGCAAATCCGCGTTCGGAAATCAAACCGTTCTCCCTCAAACGTTTTATAGTTTCGTATCGATTTCAAAATCGATTTTAATGTACGAACGGTGGTGGAATCGTGAAATGTTATCGAGTCGGGCTCTCTGGAATGATTGCGAAAGTGCCTCCCTAAGTTTGTAGTTTGTTTTAATTAGATTTTGTAAGAGCTTATATAGTGAGCTTCAATATTACGCTTCACGATTTTTCAGATCGACTGAACTGCTAATATTAATTACTACTACTATTATTATAATACCATTCCTACTAATTTATTAATTTATTTTCATTATTCCAAAATGTGGAGGCCATTTTTAAAAATGGTGCACGAATAATCATAAAAATACTATGTAATTATATATTATGTACTAGCCGTAGTCGCCCGCTTCGCTGGGCATTAAAAATTAACATTATTATTTATTGTCATTATTGTTAGGGAGTCCAACACTCATATAAATATTAGCCTATCCATTAAGCACATGTAGTTTCTACATGGATACTAAGTTTTAAGTCAATCGGATGCACGTGTGGCGGGTAGCCACCATACAACGCAAGATAATTGACAGATGCCTGGATCTCGCTTACGATATTTTCAAGATAAAGCGCATATATACAAGTTCCCAACAACTACGTTCGGACCGTCGGTCTACCGAGCAAAATATCACCCGCTCGGTGGAAGATCTTCCCTCCGTCGTTAAACATCCCAAACTGGTGACCCCGACGTGATGTGAACACGCAACCTTCTGATTCATCATCAGCGCATCAAGAACAAAATTGTTTGTTTTATATAATTCCGAGCTTTTTTATATTTTCTCACCTTTTAAACCTTCCCTGGACTTCCACGAATAGTTCAAGACCAAAATTAGCCAAATCGGTCCAGCCGTTCTCGAGTTTTAGCGAGACTAACGAACAGCAATTCATTTTTATATATAGAGATTAGTATAGATTTTTCTACATCCAAAAAGCATTCGTTTTTCAAAACCAAAAAATCCTGATCGAATTTTTTTTTTTTTTATTGCCTTTGTAACTATTCAAATAATTCGTATTCAAACATTTTTTTAAATATTACCAGTCTCCGAGGTCCGGAGGACAGATGAGCGCTTCAATCGCTGCTTTGCATACTACACGAGCTAGATCCTCAAGGGAACAGAGCTGCATAACCGATGTCCGGTTTTTCATCAAGCGCTGCATTCTAATTTGCATTTGAGCGTAATACGATATGGGCCACTCACGATGAATATAAAGTGTTTTAATTTATATTTAGCAACGACAAATGAGTTAGATTATCCAAGCCGTTCGCGATGTCGCCATAGATAACCATGTATTTAATAAATGTTTAAGCAATATCAGTGTCAATATCACTGTTAATATATTATGTTTTTATATTTTATTTATTGCCTTTGTAGACAGACGAGCGCACGGCCCACCTGATGTTCCGGCAGTTTGTTATCGTAACGGTAAGCAGTATGACATACAAAAAATCTGACATTATATTCGATTCACGATATAAATAGTAATGAGAAAATATTAAACTCGAGATCCAACCGTAAAATTAGTTTTAATTATTACATTTAAGTTGAGCTCGTCCACCCATCTAAGCAATAAAAAAAAAAAAAAAAATAAAAAAATTTTTTTTTGATGTGACGAAAAATTCCCAAACGCTGACTTAAAAAAAATTCAACTTAATATTGAAAAAGTTAAGGTAATAAAATAAAACATTTTAAGATTCATTTTGTTCTAACTCCAGCGGAGCTTTTCAGCTTTTTTTTTGTGTACGAAACTTTTTACCGCCCTACTCGGAATCGGATTGAAGATTTTATAGCGATACTTACGAACGTGTTTTTTTTGTTTGTTTTTGTAATAAAATAGAGCTACTGATTTTTATGTATTGTAAGTACATGTATTTAGGTGGTGCCTCCCCGCGTATTGCGTCAAGGGAACTTTAGGGAGCATCAAGGTAGGTGCTAGTTGCAGCCGCATTCACTTTGTGATGTATATGGTTACTGAAAGCCTCTTGATGAACTCTATAGAAACTAATGTAAATACCAGTATCATTGGGTCCATTTAGTTTTTTATTTATTGCTTAGTTGAGTGGACGAGCTTACAGCCCACCTGGTGTTAAGTGATTACTGGAGCCCATAGACATATAGACATCTGTAATGTAAATGCACCACCCACCTTGAGATATGAGTTCTAAGGTCTCAGTTTAATTACAACGGCTGCCTCGTCCTCCAAACCGAAACGCATTACTGCTTCACGGCAGAAATAGGCAGGGTGGTGGTACCTACCCGTGCGGACTCAGAAGAGATACTGGTGGTAGGACCTCTTGTGAGTCCGCACGGGTAGGTACCACCGCCCCGCCTATTTCTGCCGTGAAGCAATAATGCATTTCGGTTTGAAGGGTGGGGCAGCCGTTGTAACTATACTGAGATCTTAGAACTTATATCTCAAGGTGTGTGGCGCATTTACGCTGTAGATGTCTATGGGCTCCAGTAACCACTTAACACCAGGTGGGCTGTGAGCTCATCCACACATCTAAGCAATAAAAAAAAGATGTCCTACCACCAGTAATTACGCTAATTCTAATTTTTGCGGGTTCGATTTTCATAACACGATGTTATTCCTTTACCGTGGTAGCCAATCGTGAACATTTGTTAAGCATGTATTTCATTAGAAAAATTGGTATCCGCCTGCGAGATTCGAACACCGGTGCATTGCTAGATACCAATGCACCGGACGTCTTATCCTTTAGACCACGACGACTTCAATAGTTAACTTGAATTGTAAGCGAAATAACATAATTGGTTGCTTTAGTGGAACTATTACGTCATACTGCAAAATCATTTCTAGATCATAATAATATCTGAATCTCAAAAACGGCGTATACACCAAATTGGTTTTTAAATACTCGTTGTATACAACGAAACTCGGGCGGATGAAAAAAAAAAAAAAAAACTATCCGGACGAAAAGTGGAAAATTTCACATGACCGCATTGCGACACACGTTCAGTCTCTTCCATTAATTATATGGGTCATTAAAACATGTATAGCTTAGCTCCAAGCTATGCTGATGATTTTTTTTATTATTATTTAATGCGCTTAAAAAGATATTTATTTATTTAGCGGGGTGGTTCGAACGAGCTCTGACACCACTGTCTCTTAAAAAGGAGCTAAAAAACGCAAAAAGGAATAATCGTATGAATAGACTAGCTTTTGCCCGCGACATCATCCGCGTGGAATAGTTCACAAATAATGCTTTGGTTTTTTAACAAATTTGGTTAGCATAAAAATATAG